ATGGATGGATGGATGGATGGATGGATGGATGGATGGATGGATGGATGCATGGATGGATGGATGGATGATGGATGAATGGATGGATGATGAATGATGGATGAATGGATGGATGGATGGATGGATGGATGAATGATGGATGAATGATGGATGAATGGATGGATGATGGATGAATGGATGAATGGATGGATGGATGAATGATGGATGAATGGATGGATGGATGAATGATGGTTGTATGGATGGTTGGATGGATGGATGAATGGATGAATGGATAGATGGATGGATGATGGATGAGTGGATGGATGGTGCAGCGCCGCAGGTGAAATGAAGCTGTTTTGACCATTATAGTGCATTTATTAAGGAAAAGTTCAACTGAGACACACGTTTGCTATAATGTCGAGCAAACAAATAATTATTTATAAGTAAATAAATAAATATTTAGCTTGCAAGTTAAATATTTAGGTCCGAGTTAAATATTTAGTTAGCAAATTAAATGTTTAGTTTGGAAATTAAATGTTGAATTTGGAAATTAAATATTTAGCTTTGAAATTAAATATTTACACCAAAATATTTAGTTTACTAACTAAATATTTAATTTGCAAGTTAAGTGTTTAGCTTGTAAACTACATAATTAGCTTGTAAATTAAATATTTAGTTGGGGACTATGACATTTATAAATGTATGAAGAACATGGTGAAAATATCACTTTGAAAATAAAAACTTTTTTCTTATAATGGCCAAATAAACTAATTAATATTGATGTTATTTTTGACTGTGTAACTTTACAAACAGCACCCCATATGTGGAGGAGAGACGAAAACACCTCAGAAAAAGTTCATTTTACTACAGAACCCCAAGTTTAATCAATTTTACTGAAATATTCTTGTTTCTAGTTTAGGGAAGGTTACATGAGAGATGTTTGTTGCTCTCTGCCATCCTAAAATCAGTGCTCTGCTCTGAGGGTGTTGAGCAGCAGACCTGATCCAGGACTGACAGGGGCCCATGGGTGTCAGGACCAGACTGAGAACAACACAACATGAGAAGAACATTAATGATCTCATGGATGGTGGTTTGTTTGAAAAATGCTGCAGAGCCTTGGCTGCTGCTCCTGTCTCTCTGCGTCTGTCAATTAGTGATAATGGACCCCGTCGGCTGAGAGGAGACCACTCCCTCCATCCCGCCTCCCTTCTCCTCCTTCACACAAACACACTTTCTCTCTCTGTCCGTCTTTCTTTCTGCGTCTTACTCAGTAATAATGGAGCCCGGCAGTCCCAAGAAGATCCAGTTTGCTGTACCTCCGCTTCAGGGACAGCTGGACCCTCAGGCCGCCGAACATGTGAGTGGATCTGTGTGTTTTAAAGAGTTGGTGATGTTTGAGGTTGGGGGGTCAGAGGGGCTCATGCATGAATGAGGCTTCTTTTCTTGTGAGCTGTCTGGAATTTTCTGTGTGGGTGCAGAGCAGCATGCATGCACAGATCACTGTTTCTGTTCAGGAAATAATTAGAATGTAATTCAGTTTTTGTTTTAAAACACGAGTCGACTCACAGAACTACACAACAAACATACCACGACCGTTCACATTCAATTTAAAGCCATTCCTTCACGTTCAACATGAAACACCAGTGAGTGAAAGTTATCCAGCAGATCAGAGCTTCAACACAGTCTCCCATCCTGAGCAACACTTTGGTGACAGTGGAAAGGAACGACTCCCTTTGAACAGGGAGAAACTGCCACCAGAACCAGAACCAGAACGAGGATCGGGACAAGCTGCTGTTTGCCTCGACCAGCTGGGGTTCTGTTGGAGGAAAAACAAATTAAGCCACAGGTTAAAGGTCCAGTGGATTGTGAAGTGACGTGTCCAGAGACAAAGAACAAATGTCCAGGCTAGGCTAACAGCTAGCCCAATGAGGGATCGTTGCTTTTTGTTTAGTCTGTCACTGTTTTTTCAATCATCTATCTATACCAAGGGTCTGCAACCTTTGGGATCAAATGAGCCATTTCTGCCTCTTCGTTCACTAAATTAAACGTGTCCAGAGCCACAAAACCTGCTACAGCTGTCATTATCAACTGGTGGCTCATGGGCCACTTTAAATTTGTTAGAGGGGACTTTTCTGGCCAGTAGGCATGTGATTATAAAACCAAAAGCATCTGATTGTTAACATTTATTGATAGTTTTACATTTTGAGACAAAAGAAAATACTGGATTCCATGCATCCATCCATCCATCCATCCATCCATCCATCATCTTTACTCATTTTTCTTTTTCGGGTTGCAGGGGACCACTGGTGCCCATATCCAAGTGACAAGTCTATCACAGAAGGCTG